AAAATAAGGAAGCGATGGAGCAAATTGGGCAATCGCGGCGCGAAGAACGGACCGAAAGAAAACAATTTAGCCGTTAAACCGGAGTCTGTTAAACGCTTGTCAAAACCGTTGCCGAGAAACCGCGAAGCGTGGCAGGTTTTCACCCTGCTCTTTTCATCCTAATGCTCGATATTCGTAGCAGGGGTTGTTAAATCGTTTCTGAACATCCGAGGATATCAATAATTGCGAAACAACGCTGAAACTAGTCGTTTGGACTGGCACGGTAGTTCTAGAGTTAAACATTGTATGTATATATACAATTTGAAATAGTAGAATATTCTAAATACAATAAATAATACATTCAGTATCTAGTTATTAGCAAGAAGAACGAAGAAGTCCCCCATAAACCTGATACGTTGGAATTAAAAACCGAATTCCCGATCGCTCCAGCTACCCCTGATCTACAGCAACAGATCCACGGCAAATTCCAGGCGACCAGTCGAAACGTTTCACCGGCGAATCGTGTCAATGGTAAAGTGTCCGTCGAATGATCCCGTACAAGCGCAATTACCATTTTCACGCGTGACGCGTATCAACAATGCCCGCGGAACACGTTGCGCCCATTGTCCGAGCGTTTTCGGGGGACCGCAGCGTGTTTCGCGTTACGTGTCCGACCGGCGCGTCTCCCACCATCCCCTTTTACCCAGACATTACCTGGTGGAGGTAACTTTCAGCGAGACACGCTATATAAGAGAATGAAGGAGCCGGCCGGCCAAGATAAAGCTCGCGCGTTGTCAATCGGTTCGCCGTGCTGTCGCTCCTCTGTTTTTCTTCGTTCGCAGGTAAGTGGGGTGGGTGGTTCACGCGTTTCACGACGGAGACAGAAAGAGAGAGAAAGAAAGTCTAGGGATGAAGGGTTGTTCGAGGAAGCCGGGATCAGTGATGACGAACAGTGCAAGTGCTACCGGAGGCTTGGCTCTCGTTGTTCCATCGATTTTTATTACCTTCTCATCGTGCGAGGAGATTTGTGGTCCGGCTGTGGACGATTCCAGTTTCGAAGGGGTGTCGTCGCGGATAGATCGGCGAGAAACATTCGCGAGATTAACGTCGTTACGCATGGTGGAGCAGGAATCGCGGCACGTGCCTTAGAAGCGGGAACACGTACACGCTTAGCAACCGGTTGTGCGAGGGCGAACAGGAACTGCGCCGAGGAATTTATTAATTTTTCGTTGAGCCCGTATGTCGACGGCAGTGGCTCTTACGATCGCTTGGATAACGCCGAGAGAAATAACTCATTGAGAAATCGTGTGACTGTTTCTGGGATTAACTTGGAGTTTGATGGTTCGCTTCGAGTCGAGTAGTCAAATAGATTATTATAGTTTGTCATTGCGAGGTCGCCTCTTGAAAGTAGAGGAACAGAGTGCGCGGGTAATTAATCTTCTTGAGATAGCAGTAAACATGTTTATTCGAGTAAAAGACTAAACGGAGAGCAAGGGATCGTTAGAGAGAAACAATCGAATAGAAATTGTCCTTTTAGATTACGTTTAGAACAAGGAAGATGAAAAGTCTGAGCCACTTTTGTATCATCCAGTAAAAAACAAGGGCAGAACGATACAGACGCAATTCACCCGAGAGATTACGCAATTCGAACTTTTGATTTCGAAGGATGAGATACTTCGGATATTCGGGGCGCTTCAGATTCTGGGTCAGTTCATTAATCAGAGCGTGACACGGGCGAGAGTAAAAGTTTGACACGGTGAACACCTACCGGCCCACGAATCGAAAAACGTCGCCTCGGGTACTACGAAGCTTGCTCCAGATTTCCTTAAGAGCAACGGGGACCCGGCCGACCAGTTACGTGTGCCCTCCACTGATTATATTATACAGCCGCGTTCCCCGCGTTTGTAGTTACCTGGCAACTATCTCTTTTTTCATTATGCAATTGCTTTCTTTGCACGCCGCCTCGAGAAACCCTCCGGATCAGCTTCCAGCGACGCCATTTGCAATTTTGCCGTGAGAGACACGCCTCGCGGTGAAACGACGAAAGCTTCTCGCAGAAATCTAGTTTTTCCATCGCTCGATCATCCCCTAATACTCTATCTTTCGCTCGCCATTTTTGGTATTCACAGTTAACAAATTTACCTTCTGTCTCTTCATCGTACATACCTTGAACATTCTTTTGGGATCGCGTAACGAAAGTCTACACTAGTACACCTTTGCAAGTTTGAATTCTAAGTAACTAAAGAATCAAACGCTTTTTAGCAATTAATACAATCAACTCTGAGTAGACTAAAAAGAAGAAGGATTAATAAAGAACACAATCCAGACATTTTCCACGATCCATTGACAAAATCTAGTTCAGAGATCTATCCCTCCGCAACTTCGTTACGTTTTCAAGAAAATATTAACTTAATCGAAGAAACCTAGGTTCACGAATAGTTTCATCCTTGTCGCGTGCATTTACAAAGTACTAGGATCAACTTTCTCGATCGTCTGAATCATTGGCGCGCGAGAAGATCTCGAAAATGGTCCGCCGATCGAGTTTCCGAGGCATCCTCGAACCCTCTTGGTCGCCGGTCCTTTCTACGCACCACGGACCTTGGATATTGTCCGCGATCTGCATGCGCTTGCACCATAATTCGACTCGCAGCGCTCGATACAGATACAGTTTCCCCCGTTTTTTTTCCTCGCGTCAGTGCCATTTTTGCACGCAGGCCCTCTCACTTTCACCTGGGCTACCGATCGAGCGCCGTGCGCCGCGTCCACCTCGTAACGATCGGCCGGCTCGCCGGTTTAGCCTAACAAGTAAAGTTGACCGGCTCATTAAAAACGCAACCGCATTTTCCCGTGCGCCGATGGTGCCGATAATTAACCACTTTGTCCTTTAAACGAACCGGTCGGCGGATTTTACGCTGGACCAGTTCAACAGAATTCATAAAACTATTCGAACGCTTCCTCGTTTTCCTTTGACCCCTTCGAAGGCTGAATACGTTTAATATCAACGGGGTGCCGGCGCTTGGTTATTTAAGACCCATTCTGGAGATCTAATAATACGCGGGGTGAATTGAGACGTATTTTTTGATTGTTCGTTAATTCAACTTTCCACAGCTTCCAATTTACCTCTCCGTACATCGCACAAACGCCACATTAATAAGCAAACGAAACCTCTCAACCATCTCAATAATATTTACGAACACCGTGACCGCATGAAATCCGCAATTTACTCATCGCTAATGCAATACATCGCCGGGAAACATTGTCATAATCGCGAACAAGCGGCTTGGTAGGTTCTTAATCGAACGAATCGCGTCTGAAATGGCACGGTGCGCCGTGATCCCGGTGACTCGATTGCGTAAAGTGTCTTATGACGCATGGGATTAGCAGATTGTACCTTCGACCTTTGTCACCCGTCCAGGAAACCTGTAAGTGGTCCCGAAGTGCCGGTTTTCGATCGTTCGAAAAACAAAATGTCGCCGGTTCGCGTCGCGTTCGCTCGAGGGGTAAAAAGTCGCGCGAGAAAAGCGGCCTCCTCGCGCATCCGCGTGAACGTTCTCGCTTTTACCTCGATCGCCTTTATTTTTCGCCGGCCTCGCGCGTTTGTCACGCTCAAACAAGGAATTTTCTTTTTATCGGTCAGGGGAGATCTAAACGGTGTCCACTCTCGCGGGCCCGCGCGCCTTTCGAATTCATCGAAAGCGCCGGATCTCACCGCGATACATCATCGCGCCGTTACGAATGAGATGTCTTCAGCGGATCGTGAAACCGCCGGCCGTGTTTTACGCGCTTAGAAAGCGAGGTGCTTTCCACGGCAATCGTCGCGATGGAAGAAGTGCGTCTCCTGTCTTCCTCTCGCGGCAAACAATGACCGACCGACTGTCAGCTGCGTAAAGTTTGGAACTGTCGGGAGGAATGATGGTTTGCGAGCAAATACGATTTGGAAAGTGTGCACGTATAGTAAAGGTATAGGGGATGTAAAGTGTGAAGGAAACGCTTTAAGGGTTCTCGTCCTCAAAGGGTTAAAGCTATGGGAGACTGGAAGTGTAGAAGAACCGATTCAACCCTCTTAGATTCGGTGTTTATGGTCATTTAGTGCTTGAAGCTGATCCTTTGCGATCGTGAGACATTTGAAGGAGTTATTTTTGAAAGATTTAAATATTAGAACAAGTAATCAATGATTTTTTGTTATTTAAATGAGCCTAATATGGCGACGTTCCATATATTACTTAAGCTTCCATGTCCTTGACATATTTATTTCTGCGCTAATTGTTTCCTCATTATATATGTTACATAACGAGCTAGTTGGAAAGCCAATATCGTAATTAATTCGCGATACAGTGTTGGTTTCTTCGTAGATTTCAGGCTTGTTTTATTTACTTCCCCTCTTTATAGACTCCCCTTTATAGTTTCCTTATACTCTCCAAGATAAATTGTAAAAGAGAACGTTTACAACCGGCCAGCGAATCACTACTGAAAATAAAGGAACTCTATCAATACCGTTTACGATATGTTTGCCTAGTTTTTCACATAATCACGGCGGTTTTTAATCAACGCGGAGTCGCGATTGGTTTCCAAAAGGATACAACTTTCCATACGACTCGGTGTTTGCTTTACTTTATCGCGGAGCGAGTTATACAACGCGCTGAGACACCCGATATCTAGTTCCCTCGGGTAAAAATGAGATTTTCACTTATTTCGATCACCGCATAAATTAGCGGCTTACTTGCATTTCCTCGTCCATCGAGTCGTCCGCCATATTGTATTACTTCGAGCCAACATTAGAACCAGTGACCAGTTAAAAGCATTCGTTTTCTGTTCGAAAAGTTGCAAGAATCTTTTTCATTGTATCAACAAACGATTTGTAACCACTCAACCGTAACAATCTATCAAGCAAAACGTCTGTACAACTGTAGCAACTATAGAATAAAAAGTGTTGATTCAATGTTTGCGACAAGCATATCAAACAACGATCGAAAAAAACGCAACGATCCAGCGCGGAGAAAGATCGTACGCGCGTTCGCTCGATTTCGAACACGATTACGCCATTTCACCGGCATTTCTCCGTGGTCCTCTTTCTCTCGAATATTCTGGGTCATCGACATTAAACGCACGCGTGTTCTCGACACACTTGCGAGAGAACACCTGCAACTGCTCTCGCTAACAGCCGTGAAGCATCACTTTTCCGAGACGTGACTGGACGTCTTCTCTTTCCAGCCGCTCGTCTCTATTTTTCTATTCGCCGCCAGTGAAACCTCGGCGGCGCTTTTAACCGTCCAGCCACCTAGATCGAGCTCGTTAATCTTCTAAACGGATCGAGGGTAATTCGCGATCGTTAGATCGAAATTCGCCGCGGGATTACGTTATGCTTCGGTATTATCCAATTAGCTCGGAGGGATAACGCAACGCGGATAAATGAAGGCATTTAAGATCCGATTCAGCACTTGAAAGCTTTGTGTCTTGAATTAACCCCTTGCCCTGTAATATCTTGTCAGACTCGCGGCGAAGATTTCAAACAGAATTCAACGAGCACAAATATTACTCGATGCTTGTAAAACATGGGCATAGAATGTATCTAGAATTTCTCTCTTTCTTCGATAAATCACCGATGAAAATTAGGCGAGAAAAAATGGAAACCGATCTGCCCGTCGATCCATCGGGTGATCTCCAGTACCTGATTAATAGCACGAGTATGTAATGATTCCAAAAAGAACATATACGCGTACAGACACAATATCTTAAATTAACACTCCCATTCATTCTCCAAATAGAACATCGGACAGCTCGTAATTCTCCCGTGTCCGAATAGCACGGCTCTTTAATTTCAGCAAATACTCATAATGTAAGTCTCCATCAACTCACGCTCGTTACACGACCAATAAATAATCTGTCTTCGAGCGACCGTTACAATCATCGCGCGATAAAGTCCGGACGATCATCAACGTCAAAGTGAAAGATGAGACAGCCGGCGGGACGCGTCAGGCGCTGCGGCCTCTCGAGTAAGAAATAATCGTGTACCGATGCGTTTACAGCGCAATAAATCGGATTAATCGATTTTAACAAGATTCCGTGATCAGCCTCGCTCGCCGCAGTATAATCATCGTCCAACGAGTGTTCCGTGTAATTACTTTCCACGCGATGCGTGCGCTTCGTGGAAGATGTCAATGGCCAAGGTCGCTTTCTCTCGCGCGCGTCCATCAGAAATGATGGTGTTCCGATCCGTCTAACACGCTCGCGAAAGCGCGTCGAGGGCGTGATTATCGATCGGCGAAGAACCGATGAAAGGTCAATTGCTAGAATCATTTTTACCTTTCTTCTAAATGACTTTCCTCTTTTCTTCAGGATGTTGTGGCTGAGTCTAGCGGCGTTCGCTGTCACCGTGACAGCGCAGGGCTCTTACGACTTGGACGGCAGAGTCCCGTACCCGGGCAAATCCTCTAGTTTAGGACCTCTGTACTCGCCTGGTCAAGGATTCCGCGATAACAGCTACGAGGACAACATCGTGACGCCCACGCCGACGCCGGCCTACAGGCCCAACAGCCAACCACCTGTAAGCAACGAGGGTTTTGTACTTTATATTTTACGTATTTCATTTTATTCGTTTGAAGCTTTCAGTGTCACGCCTGAAAACTTTAAACTCTCGTATTTCATTCGACGAGAAAGGAGCAAAGTACAGGAAGGGTGTTCACCTTTTTTATAGAAGGTTCCATGAGATCGAACACGGATGTTGTGTCCTTTGCCATGAAAGCGGTTTTTTAATTCCTGTTCCATCGTTCAGCCCGTGAAATCGTGAATTTACATAAAGATTCGCTGGAACTGCAATAAATTCCTGTTACCTTTCGCCTCGAACATTCTCGCTTTCCGATCTGCTCCAATTTCGAATATTATTAGCCCCGATAAAAGAAGTTGGATCATATAATATTACGTTACGCGTTACATAAGGACTTACGTAAAAATAACCGGTTACCACGAAGTACCTGGGGTTCTGTTCCCTTACGTGCAGCTGCGTAACAAGTGCGTGAACTTTCGTGAGTGATCTCACGTACAGGGAAACAAACTTTTTCTCGGGAAACATTGGACGATTTTGCTCGATACTGTTTCTGGAACCATGAAAACGATATCGTTTGTCAACCACGAACCTCTATCTTCTATTTTCCAGTTGTACCGCAAGCCATCGCTGGAGCAAGGAGCCGTTAGGGTGAACGGACCACCAAGGGGTGTCCTTCGCGGTGGACAGCCACCGAATCCTCAGGTGATGATCATTTCATCAGTTTCATGATATTAACTCGTTACGGATGAATGTCGACATTTCGAGAAAACCAAGTGTTCGTATCTGGAATACTAAATCGTAAACAAATAATTTAATTACTCGAACAGCGAGAAACGAGAATTCTCTACGTACATTAAGATACTAGATATTAATTAGAAAATAACTATCGCAGTATTAATACACGAAATATTATATCATTAAAATACTCAGTTCTACAGGAAAGTTTCAGCAAACAATGTCCGATGCGAATTTGTTGATACGTTAACGAGAGATATCAATTAGCGTCTTCCACTGACGGAAGACATCAAGTAACATCCTCGACAAGCATCGCCGACTAAAGATTAATCAGAAATACACACAATAATTAACGAGATTCTTTAAAGATGATTATCTCGCCACTAAATTTTAATAAAAACGTTTCGTCTCTCCTACTTAACGGCCGCGTATTGCCGACAACGCGTTAATTACAGAAAATTGATATTAGACTGAACAATCGTGAGATTCCTTTCCCAGAATCTCGTTCGTTATTACGTAACCCGCGAGCGGCCGAAGAAACATCCATTGTTTGTTGGTTCCACACGATGCACGTGTTACGTAACGAGCCAGACATTACGATTGCTCGAAAGAAATGATTTCGTGAACAAGGAAAGTTGTTTCGCTCCTTTTGTCGCGTCGATCAGGAATGATTATGTGTTTCCCAGTTCCATCCGGGAACGATCATCGATATTGAGTAACCGTTCGCGGTTGAACCAATTTCCATGTAGCTGGTTAACCCTTCTCGGAACAGAATCGAGAAACGGTTTACGCGACAGCTTTCTCTTCTCCTGTCCGCAATCGTTCACTGTGTATTTTGCGGTTGAAGGCCGAGGCTGAAGAACTGGAGGAAAAGGAGGAGCCCGATCGTCTGACCCTCCTGCTGCCGCAGAGCAAATTCGATTGCGTGAACAAACAGACCGGATATTACGCCGACGAGGACCTCAACTGCGAAGTGTTCCATTATTGCCAGGACAACGCGAAGCACTCCTGGATCTGTCCAGAGGGATTCACGTTCCATCAGGTAAATGATCGATCGAAGGTCGTTCTAACAAATATCGTAGCTAAAGAAACCAGAGATAATATAATTGAATAAACTAATCAGAATTTTATATTGATTGGTAAGATAATAAGTACAGAAGTTCGATGCATCTCGCTAAGATCTAAAAATATTTCATAAAACAGAGTTCATTCCTTCAGCCTCTAAACGAACACTAAAACGATAATTGCACCGCAACGACCAATTGTACGCGTTTATCTATCATTAATACGAGTTACGGAATGCCTATTCCTTTTTTCCTTGAACCACCCCGGTCAGGTGAAAGCGTCCGTGAAAATAAAAGTTTGCTGGCGCAATTAGCCAACCACGAATCCCATTGATAAGTAAATTTCACCTATCCCGTGCGCCTCCGATGTACGTTTTCACCCGGTCGTTTCCGGTTTCGTGTACCCGGCTAGCGGACAGCTGAGGCCGATCATAAATCGCGCGATCGGTTTCCTGATACCGGGCTATCGTTACGCGTTTCCGGGGTAATCAGTCCACGCCCGTTTTCTCGCTGGAGAAAAATGAAAATAAAGGAACCGTGGAACCCCTTTCTCCCAGAGAATAGAGGCCTTCGACCTCCAGCGACTTGCCATTCGACAAAGATGGATATCTGGAAAATTTGCCAACATAATAATGTTTCCATTTAGAAGGAAAATCGAACGAAGTTATCTTACTTTCGACTTATTCAAATTATCAAGGGAAGAAAGAAATTTCTGTTTGCCTCCTAATTCCCTAAATTACCAATGAGAACTCTCTTGTTCTTTTTATAAAGATTTGAAAATTTCTTGATTGTAGATTCATTTTTGAAATGAATTTATGTATACCGAAGGAATGATATTTAAGCTATCGTTGTTATTGTTCGAACTTTTTCTTCGCAGGTCCACCTGATCTGTATGCCGCCAAGCGGTGACATCAACTGCAAGAAGAGCTCGCAGTATCACTTCGTCAACGAGTACCTCTACAAACCGCTGAACTTGGCGGAAGCCGAGACGAAACCGAACGTGACCCTGAGATACAGCGAAAGGTATTTCCCCGCTGACATTCATTCCGACGAGCGCGAGGCTGGCGACTATCAGATCACACCGTCTGCGCCTGTCCGTCGTCCTACGCAACCGGTAAACTGATACATTTCTATTTTAATACATGTTTATATATCACTTACATGCTAAATAATCAATCTTACAAATGCACTCGTGATCCATCAAGCAAGAATACAATTTCCCATAAATCCAATGCAATCACTCCAATAAATTCTTTCACGCCTCATCAATCACTATCACAGTTTCCTTAGCGTTTCTGATTGTCTCTGCAAAATACATCACTACAACATCCTTCAACTGGAACATACATACACATTATACATCAGACTCACAGAAAATCTGTTGCAGAAAATCTATGAACGTGCAAAGCACTGTGTCCATATAAGGATCAAATCCATAAATTGATACCTATAAATGAAACCTATCAATTAATTCTCATTCAATCGATATTCATCGACATTACCATATGATGCTCATATTATTCTGAGTGCTTTTGCAAGTAGTAGATAGCTTGTAACAGCCTTAACAATAAATAGAATCATTTCTACACAGATTTATGCGAGCACACAGCCAGCAGCACTGAACAGCATTCCACCATCAGCCCGTCCACAGCCCACAGGTCTCCCACAGTTCCGTTTACCGTTGAACCAAGTGTTCCGCAGCCCAGAAGAGGTGAACATCCCTCTTCAGCACAGACGCCCGCAGCCACAGGGGCAGCCAGTGAGGAGATTCCCCCAGGTCCGACCTGACGACGAAGAATACGAGTAAAAGCCGACCTCGTGCAGGATAAATTTTTCAAAAATAATTGTCATTCATCGTCCATACTCACCGTCGCATTTAAGTCGTTAATTATACTTTGCTGGAGCCTCGTCGTAATTTCCGCGTTGGAATCGAAAGGAAAAATAAATGTAAAAGCAAACGCTGTATTTATTCGGGCGGATCGTAGCTGACGTAGGTGTCACGTAAATTAATCGTAGAATATAAATTATTCCATATTCTCATTCATCGTCTAGTAAAGCGCCACGTTCTCTCCCAGATTGTGATCGAAGCTTCGAATTAACATTGATGCGTTAAGTTATGTTCACCAGCTTGTTGCATCTATTTAGAGGGATGGTCCGATGATTATCGTATACCTGCGCAAAATGATCAGTGATAATTTTAATGGTGTAATTAAGCGATGTAACTATGTAATCGACATTAGCATAACAGTGATGACCAATAAATTGTTATTGCGTTATTTTTAACGGCGCTTACTGTTTCATGAATACTTCCGTGTGCCGATTACTGATCACGCAAATGATCAGGAAAGTAATTAGAATTTTGAACGTGAAAGCTTGAACATTTTGTTGGTTAATTCAAATTCAATGGGAAATTCAAACAGATGGCGCGCGTATACGGAGAAACGGTCAAAATATCGTTTGATAGTTGACACGCGAATATTGCAAACACGAAAATCGTATTGATCAAATACACGTGAAAAACGGAATTAATTGTTTACCTTTATCGGGAGCCAATGTTAAATTTAGATACGTGTACGTATGTATATATTAATAAAGAAAGCAATTGATATTGTGTTTTGTATCGCGCAGTTAGTGCAGCTGCAGGAACGTCGCAATGGGACTCGTGTTGTATTCTTTTCTTTCCTTCGAGCATATTTAACCTGAAAAAGATTTGAAGCAAAGAAAACAATTGACGATAGTATTAAAGAGATCACGATTCCTCTGGCGTTCGTTGTTTATTGAATTTAACAGACGCAGATCTGGGATTACCGTGGTATGTTCGCATGCACGTTTAGCGTGTAAGGTCGCGCCATATTGTTTGCATCACTGCTGCCTCCTGAACTAAAAACTTCTGGGGTTAGAACGTGAGTGTCGTCGGTTCGTTTGAGACTCTCGATACTTGTGTGAATTTATCGAAATTTCGATCCCGTCTGCATGGTTTCGCTGTTCGTTTTCTGGGAACATCGATTACCAGATAACACGGTTTCTTTGTAACAGTCGTCGTTACTTCTTCGTGTACTCTTGGTAAACGACATTTGATCACGGAAAGAATTTTTGGAATATGGCTGCTGCTGCTGCTGCTGCTCTGCTGGACGAGCTTATGGGAAGAAATCGGAACGTTCTTCCCAATGAAAAACCCAAAGAACTCAATTGGGAAGATCCGGAGGTAGGTTTTTGTTGGGAACGATATTTCGGTTATGCGATCGTTAATGTATTCGCGGCATCGACAGTAGCCCGATCATGGTCGTACCTTTCGTCATTTTAAAATTTTACTATTTTTCCATTTCAGTTTTGTAAGTTGTATTTAGTGAAATTCTGCCCTCATGACTTGTTCGTTAACACGAGGGCTGACTTGGGCGCGTGTTCCCGTGTTCATGACGACGAGGCCAGGGAATTGTTTGAGAAAGCACCGTACTCTTATAGAAAACAACAGTACGAAGATGAATTCATTAGATTTTGTCAGAGTATGTTGAACGAAGTGGAGAGGAAGATTATAAAGGGAAAGCAACGTTTAGCTCTTATTGGGAGAACAGAGGCGGTAAGAATAATTTTCAGAGAATCCTTCCTAATTTCATAGCAATGTTTCAACTGTGTGTACCTGCTATTCGAGATTGACATTGTTCTCTTGAATGTTCTGTAGCTGAAATAGTACTGACAGATTTCGTGTTTGTTTAGCCTACTTTAACACCGGCACAGACACAAAGGAACGAAGAACAAATTGCTCTGTTAACTGAGAAAATTAACAAATTAGTTGAAGAGGCGGAACAAAGTGGTATACAAGGCAATGTGGAACAGGCACAAGGCCTAATGAGATTATGCGATCAGTTAAAGGAAGAGCGAGAAACACTCAGAAAGTCTAATGACAACAGTCATTACAATCAAGTAAGTATTACATAATTTGTCAGAAAGTAAATCATTATGAGAACATATAAGAATAGAAACAATTCATTTCAGACTGCTGAATTGGCTGCTGCACAAGAGAAACAAATGGAGGTGTGTGATGTATGTGGTGCATTTCTTATTGTTGGTGATGCTCAGCAACGAATTGATGATCATTTAATGGGTAAACAACACGTTGGATATGCCAGGTTAAAAAGTGCCCTTCAAGAAATTATGGTAATTTGATGTGTAAAATAGGAAGAATATATTTATTTAATTGAATTATATAAGATGTTAATACCGTGAACGTAATTTTGCAGAGTAAACGTGAAAAAGCGCGAGACGAAAAAGAACAAAGAAGAGAAGAAGATAGGAAACAAAGGGCGCGTGCTAATGAAGATCTCGATAGACGAAGAAGAGACGGAGACAGAGATAGAGATAGAGAGAGAGAAAGGGATAAACGGCGTAGACGCGATGACGATAAAGGCAGACATGATTCGGGCAGTCACAGGTAACTATTTAAATATTTAATATGTATGGTACATACAGTGATTATATTTTGATTGTTGTCTATAGAAATTCTGGACATAGAAGTAGAAGCAGATCAAGAGATAAACACGATAGACATCGAGATGATGACAATCATCGACGTCATCGGGATAAAGGTAAATATCGAATGTCATTATTATTAAATCCATATTATTTAAATGTATGTTTACACTTTCAGGAAGCCGTGATCATCGAAGTTCGAGTCATCATACTCGTCGTCGCCATCGTTCTAGAAGTCGAAGTCACAAGTAACTACTCTTGATTGGTTAGTGAGTGAGAAGTAAGCCAGGTATGCACTAAACAATATACCATATTCGTCTCAATTACTGTACAGGTTCTTTACCAGGTGAGTTTCATTAGATGCACATAATTTATACATGATAATTATCTGTAATTTTGAAGAATGGCATAGTCACAGCGAGCCAGTCTCTGGTCCTGCCTATTAATCGGAGAAACACTCTTACTAAATTTCATATGGACCTGATTGTACAGCGTTTAATTTTCAAAGTGACGAGCTTGCTCTATGTATCATAGTACTGAAAAAAGGTGCATCGAGGTAATGTCGAGAGCAAGGAGTAGTAAAAGTCGTTCCCATACGAAAGGTATTTTTATCATGTAGTATTATAGATATTGTCTACAGAGCAAGATAGGAGAAGGTATACCTATGCTTGCTTTGATCGGTTTAATGTCTTCATAGGGTAAATCAATTATATAATTTCAACGACAGCATAGCTTTTTTATCGAAAAGAAATTAGTGGTTTAGTGGAGGAAACAGTGCCTACTTCCGTAGACCTGCCACAACAGTGCCCTGTGTGACTGTGACTATACAATCCTAGCTTCTACTACGCATTTCTGAGGTATTTATATCGGAATGATAATACCAAACATGTCCTTTTATTAGGAAAATTAGACATTTTGAAAACGGTGATCTTTATTTTGGAGCGATACTTGAGTGCTTAAAGTTACGATAACAAACTCCTGCTCTTACTTTCCTTATTCCCTAATTGCAATTTATTGGAGCATATTCAGTTTAAAGCTGAGCAATCTGTCTACCAATTGGTGAGGGAACTTACGTTATGTAGGTCTAACGGAACAACTTTAATAATTTCATTCGAAACGATGAATCCACATGTATAGTCCAGAGATACGAGACCGTGCCGATTTAATAGCCGCCTGGCTATCATTGACGAAGCAATCAGTAAATTGGGCTTATAAGTTGGCATATATAGTCGCAAATCGATAAATGTGTTTTCTTCTGAACTTCATTCAGCGAAGTTCATGAAATACTTTATCATGTATCATGCAGAATACTCTTCTTCCCTTTGCATGCATTTTTCTCCTCCATTTTTAGTTCTGAGAGACAGGACATGGGCGAAGCTCAGTCAAATTTTTCTAATTAGAAAATCGTAATCTTTTAGCATCATGGTACATCGATTTGAAGATTGATGACAGGTCACATGGAATCATGTATTATATATGGTGCTCCGAGGAGATCCCCCCAAAGTCGTATCTTGTCTCATTCTTTTTTGCCGTGTCCTTCATTTCGGCTTGATAGAAGACTCATACTTTATACGCGTACTACATTTGTGTGATTCGTGTTTGGCTCATAATAAATCGTACATACATTAAATAATCTGCTTTTTGAAGCAACTAGAAGTAAAGACCAAAATATACAAATAATAGCTTTCAGTAAAAGATCATCTTGTATTGTCACATTGAGAAAATATATTGAATCAATGTTTTAATAAATTAGTATTTGTTACAGTTATCTCAATCATATTAATAACTAATATCAACTTATTCTTGATGATAACATCGTTGAGCATTGTCATTTAAACCTTGCACACTCTGTAAACGTAATCTTTTTGTTTCCAATGTTACAACTGGAGATGATCATTTTTAATTTATTATCTGCTTTTCCACACATGTAGCCGACAGAAGTATGATATTTTTTTTTAATTATTTCGTGTATTAAGGCAAGGTTAACAAATAATATACAGATACATATTATCTAGGTGTTTGGTAACAATCGAAATTAATATCAGAAAAGAAGCCCATAACAGAAGCATAATTTCTAAAAAATGTATTGTCTATTTTCAGACAAAAGAGGACATACCACGGGAGTGTAACCAATGCAACAGGCTCACTTGCACACTGCTTAATATAATATTAAGGTAAAGATTTTGCATAATCTAAAAATTCAAACAAAATCGTGATTTTTATACAACTGCGCCTTACTTAATTTTCACCATACCGCGCTGATTTTAAATTAATTACGGAGAAATAAAATACCGCAAAATTTGATTCTTTATTAGCGTTGTCGATATTGTGTCTCAAATATTCGGACATACATTTAAAGCAGATTTATTAGCTGTTTATTCATACTTGATGCAACTGTTACTTTTAGACTATCCGTATGTACATATATTAAAACAAAGACATCAGAGTAAATTGTCTATAATTTGCATTGTAATATTCGTA